TAGATATTGAAACCTAAAAAGGTATACCACAAAATTCAGATTGATTTTTCTATATTTTCAATTATCGAACCCAATATTATCTGTATACATTTTCCTTAAAAATATATCTTAATATCTATACTTTCTATTTTTCTGTGTACTGCATTGCTTTGGCATGTTGCACATTGTTTGCCGCACTGCAATTGTTCCGCTCAGTTGATCCGGGTATTCCCCGAAAACCCCCCTTTAATCTTTAGCCCCCATCGATGTTGAATTTTTATTTTAGCAAAGTTTTTTCATTTTGCCCCGAAAGCAAAGTGAAATTCCTTCATGTCAGCCAAGGATTTTCCTGCACCCTGGCTTAATGAATTGGAAGCGATTTTCAGAGCTGGCGACATCTGGGCTAAGTAATTTTGTGGAGCAAAAGCTAAGTGAATACGCTCACATGTGAGCCATTCCCGTTATTTACAAGCTCAATTATGCGGTAGCCAAAAGAGTCATATACAGTTATAGTTAGTTTTCTGTTTATGGAACCCACGTTATATTAAGTCACCCTTCGCAGCCCTCCTGTCAATTTAGGTGGGTAATAAATTTCAATATTGTACTCATTTCTTTTTTTTTTTCGGGCCTTTCGGACTCGGGGAACTCCGGGGCGATATCTATGCGGGTTATCTTCGGTGTGACGTGCGGTTATCGGAGGGAATGGAATACAGCCGGACTATACCATAATTTGCTTCAAAACGGTGTGAATTATTTGTTCGTTGCTGCCTGGGATACCATGTGGATTATTATATCTTAATTTTCTTTAATGGTTTATTATGATCCGTCGACTGCAGTTGGCCTTTTGTTTGCATTGCGTGCCAAACGCTCTGGCACCTCTCATCCTTAATAACAACACTGATAATTTCGTGTGATTGACAATTGTTTTCTTCACAACAGCTTTTTGGTTGGTTCGTTTTGCGATAATGATAATAATATGTAATAATATTTATTTCGATGCCCCGGCATCGTCTGACAGTCATAAATCGTGCTTATTTATGGAAAATGAGATTTGTAGTGGCGCATTAATTGTCCGTCATTCTGGCTGTCTGAATATTTCTATATCTCTGTCATTGGGACATGCGATTGGAATGCTGAGACCCCAGTACTGAACTCATTGCAGAGCGATGACATTGATATTGTCTTCTATAATGTGCAATACTTATAAAACTGCTAATGAGAGATTAACTATAATTAATTATATTGTTTACTTGACTAAAAGGTGATTTTTGATTATCTGTAAGAATTAAAAATAGAAACTAGGTTTCACAACAGTCTGTGAGCTTGAGCTTGTCTGGCTTTAAATATAAGAAATATCTCCTGGGATTCCCCAAATTTGTTTTGATCAGATCTCACAGTTCAAAGAGCCTATGATTTATACTCATAATGGAACATCTCTTAACAATCTTTAATTGTTTTTATCTATGTACATAGCTCAACGAATTCGATGCAATAATTCAACTTACTCAGTGAGATTAATGATCCCTTAATTGATCCCGAAGATTTATGAGCCTTAACTTGATTAAAATCATTTGTAAGGCGACGGTTTATATTGTACTTAATTCTTTAACTTCTTGGCACCAAATTGATTTGTCAGCTTGTGGACTTGAATGAGGCATCTCAACTTAACCCAAACCAAAGACCGAACAACCAGCTTGGATAGCGACTCCTCGCGAATGCTGTGAGCGATTCGATTCCAGGGAAGTGAGCTGTTATGGGATGTCTTTAATGCCCATTGACAGAGCGCCGGGTGCAGTCCAGCCGGCGAGGGCAACAACGCCACTGGTTGTCTAGTTAAAGCCAAAGTTAAAGCGAAATTCCCCCTGAGAAACAAACAAAAGCGCAGACGATCGATCGACAAAGTACAAACAAAAGGCATGCCACAGCTAAAATGCCAATGGATGGGGGGGACCTTAGCCAAAGGGAAGAAAGGGGATGAGGGGGACCCCGGTACCACCCAGGAAAATCACGATGACGAACCGATGCCCGGCCAGATACGGATACATGGCCTGCAAAGGCAACAACGACAGAGGCAACACCTCTTGTTAGTTTTACTGATCATGATCATGACAGCGGTAGAGCGATGCACTGTTCGAAATCTGAAGATTTATGATGGTTTATCAATGATCATCTATATAGAATATGAATATTAAACGGGTCTTGGGTTTAGATATTTTATTTAAATAATCTTGATAATAAGATTGACCCGTTTCTTTTGTCCTGGGATAGAAATTCAAGTTTGTCGCATAATATCATTAAAAATCTATATATCCTTGTGCAAATTGTTGGATATCTATAGATCCAAAACATTTATATACCTATAAATATTTTTCAATATAATTTTTATATAATATTCTATAAATAAAACTCCTCTTTCTTGACATTATCTGACCTCTATTATAAGACCTCTAATTCCCCAATTCGATATTCATCTATTTCCCAAATGATTTTCCCCGAGTGCATACCATTTGAGCCCTGCCCAGTGGACAAACTGATTGAGGCACGAACAGGCGAAACTCCTTCGTGGGTCAATCATTGGGTTGCAAGTTGCAACTTCAGGCTGCAGCTAAAGCTGGATCCGAAGAATCATGGTCCGAGTCGAGTTCATGTTTCACAGTTTGCAAATAACTCTAATCGGGGCTTTCTGCATCTGTGTGTGGGGGTGGGTGCCTTCCGCCGACTCCGTTTATAAGTCCCCCGGCCAGCGATCCTGCATTTTCCTCTTCATTTTGGATCTGAACAAGCCATGCATTGTAAGTTCATTAGCGGCCCAAGTGCACGATCCGCTCGTTGTTGCTATTGCTTTTGTCGTTGTTGTAGGACCGTGGATCTGACTTTAGTGCCTACTCCTCCTCCTCCGATGCCCCTTGAAATGCATATAAACATGAGATTTTTCTGCACCTTCTGGCCAGACTTTTATTTTTGGATACCCTAGGTTTGGGTATACAAAAATTGGGTGGGATTAGTCGCAGAAAATATTAATTTACTTAATTAATGTATATAAGTAAATTAATTATATACGAAGGTGTTTACATTGTTCATAAGATTCGCTTTACGCCATGTATCGCTAGAATTCCCAACTGGTTCTAGTGTCTTAGACATGACAGAGTCTACATAGATAACTTTATAGAATTCCGCCCATAAGGGAATTAAATATTCGACCAGCTAAGCTTGTCATCCTTTCTTGTTTACTTTTATGTTGCTTTGGCATACCTGGGAGCTCCTCCTAACTAACTAGGCAAAATCACTCATACTTGCAGCCCCGGTGCACCACATGTGGTCTGAAGAGCCGAAAACCGGCTCGCCAGGAGCAAAGGCGGGTGGGGCAGAGGAAAGGGAACAAGGAAGAAAGAGAGAGGATGGAGAAATCTTCGAGGGGCACCCTGCAGCTAAAAGAACGGGGTGTATTGAACCGCAGCAGGAAAGCAGCACAGCCAACAATAAAAGCAAAGTCAAAGCCAAAAGTCAAAACGTGAGCCTGGATTGCAGGCGATCTTGTGTTTTCTCCTCTGCTGTGCCCTCCTCTTCAACCCTATCTCTTTCGCTCTTATGAGCTTACCTGGGGATCTGGAAGGTTTTTTTTTTGTTGTGTTCTACCTTTTTATCGCTCTTTTAGCAAGCCAACCGGTGACGCTAACAAGGCAAAAGAAACAACAACGTGGCCGAGGAATAGGTGGAAGAGTCGGAAGAAGAGGGTTAACAAGAGGTGCGGCGGGAGGGGAAGGCAGGGAGAGAGCCAGAGAGACTGAGCTCGTGGACTGACGGCGTTATCTGGTAACAACGTGTTACGAATTACTTTTAACAAGACCCTTAGCAGATAAAAACCAGAAAACCGGTTGAGAGAGAGTAGCAGCAAAGAGAGCACCGAAAAGAGCGTGCGATTGGAACGTGCGCTCATTAGCGAGGTGAGCATATAAACAGGAAGGAATTGCAATTAAAGCCTGTCTCACTTGGTTCCCGTGATTGCAGAGGAGAGAGAGAGCCAGGGACCGGGGGGAGGACGAGGACAGGAGACACCCTGTATCTAACCACCACCACCAACCCGCCTGAAGAAAGTTGAAGAACTTGCAGATATTTCAGCAGGGTGCACTGGAAAAATCAGGGAGCGGTGGACGCTGAAAGAGAGAGTGAATGGAAAACCTGAAAATATGCCAGACAACAACAGATGCCTCTGAAAAAAACTGGAAGGAAGAGAGGGCGCCTTTGGGAGGGGGTGGTAGGTTGGCATGCGAAACGCAGCACATGTGCAGCCTGAAGAGGCAGAGAAATCAGGAACCGGGTGAGGCATGGATGAGGGGTGTAGGAATGGGAGTGTTGGTGGAGGGGGATACGGTAGCTGTCAAGCTAGTCAGAGATTTGTCACCAAAAGAGAGAGAAAGAGAGTGAATTTTTATTCAAGGGTTGGGAAAAGGACAACTGGGTTAAAAAGTACAAATAAATTATTAAGCTACCAAATTTTGCAATAAAAAATAAACCCAATTGAAAATATTTTAAAAACTTATTAAAATCATAAAAAAATTGCTTATCGTTCAGTATATTTTCCTGACGTCTGAACCAGAATTTCGAATGGACAACAAATAGTAAAATTCTTATACAAATATTAAAAAATAAATAAAAGGGTATTGCAATTATTATGTAGCCAAAACTAGCGCAACAGGAAATCGTTGTCGTAAAGCAGATTTACATCGATGATAACGAGGCCATTAAAAGCACCTTAGAAATGCCAAGGGAAAACAAATGCAGCCAATAAAATGAAAACTTCTGCCCATATTTATTTAGCTTATGCAAAAAGTAACGAAATGCGGGGCAAAGCAAACAGCAAAGAAAACCCCACCGTAAACAAAACATTTATTTAGCTGCATTTAGCGTATGCTACTATCCGCTCTCCGGCTCACTCTCCCTCATTCAACCTTTCTCACCAACACAGCATGGCATTCTCTCCCTCACAACCGCTCTGCGTCAGCGAACAGCCAGCTCTTACTAGGCCTTCCAGTTCTCTTTCGACGATCGGAGCGTTCGGTTCAGCGGACCCATGTCGCTCGAGCTACCAAAAGATACTGAATCGCGACGCCTAATTACACCTTCCAAACGCCAATTAATCAATGAATATATAACAAAGTGAATATATAAAAAGCTTCCCTTTGTGCACTAATTGTGAGCAATAACAATAGTCGTTAATAAAAAAGAAGTTCCATAAAGTAGCCACCAAGTGGCGTCCTCGAAATAAAGCGACAGAAACGAGTTATGAAAATACAAATTGTGGCCGTGCCATGTGAGAATGTGTGTTAAAAAATTGCTAAAGAAAAAATAAAAACGAGTTGTTATTGTTGCTATTCCGATCTGTGATCGGTGATCGACAAGCGCCAGCTGCAATTGGATTGGAAATAAGCCCCAAAATAAGATTGTAGAGAAAAACATCCATCCAACGACACCCTAACACCTGAGATAGTGACAACATTTGGCGCTACATGAAATTTTAATTAAAAATCTGTCCCAAAATAAAGTAAAAATCACTTGCAGCGGCGAAAAGTTTGCGGGTATCTGTGTATCCGTCAGATACTTGCTGCTCGCTCGCTGCCCGAGTGTGTGTGTGTGCACTCCTCCAGGTGTCGCCGGTGCCTGTGTGAGTGTTTGATGTAAGCAGACGTGAAATTGGATTAACTTTGACAGACGCACGCCGGTTTTTAATTACCACCAAAGACTTTTTTTTTTGGATTAACAGCGAAAAGTTGGACCATCTCTCCAAGGTAAATATCATGCATGAGAAAATGGGGGACTGCGGAGACTTCCATTACACTGCAAGTCAAAAGATCAGTTGCGGGAGATCCGTATAATGGGATATGTCAGTCAATGGGGATATATATGGGATACGCAAAGGGGAGAACTGATCTTTCGAGGGGAGAATAGTACCATCTCAGCATATACAAATTATTCTGAGGAAATTGCTTTAGCTCAAGTTAATTGAATGGGTCTTAAGCTGTTCTGATCTTTGTGGGAACTTTTCGAAATAATGATTTCAAATAGTATTAAATAAAACACAGGAAATTGAAGAGAACAGTTTAATATTTTGTGATATTTTTATACAGTTTATTTAGGGAAGATGATCTTATAGGTTGAAGATCATAATATTTTATCATAATATTTTGTGATATTTTTATACAGTTTATTTAGGGAAGATGATCTTATAGGTTGAAGATCATAATGTCGTCATAATTATGACCTAATATACCCTTTAAAGAATGCTAAGAAAAATCATAAAAACTGAAGTTTGAAAATGTTTCTTGTATTCCAATATATTTGTTGGATATTATACTGTATGCTATTATACTCCGGGATATTTATAAATATGTATGCTAAAACTACAATACCAAAAAAACACCATGAATGTCCGTAAAGCTCCAGTGAATCTTTGTGGGAACTTTTGAGTTGATCCCTTTGAAAATACTACAAATCCATAAGGTACAAAAAAAACTCATTGAATATTTAACCCCAACAACAGTTACACACATCGTTATTTTTACCGTTTTATTCGTTTGGCTCGCCACCTTATCTCTACTCAATTTCTGTTCGGCTTCACTGTTTGTTTACTCAACAACAAAAATTGCGGCAGTTGGGTTCTTTTTTTTCGACAATTTTCGTTTATTTCATTCGAATCAATATTGCCGTCAAATGAATGGAGAGCCACGAACTGAAATCTTATCTCCCGGAGGGGAAAAGTGGGGCTCGGAATGCGTATGTCTGTGTCTGTGTCTACATTATTTCATTATTTGTTGTCAAAGTTTTGGCTGCCGAGGCAGCGACTACCAGAAATACTACCATGCTATCGATAGAGTTGGAAAATCAGAAAAAAAAAAATAATAACAGACAAGAAAATACAGTGGGAGAGAGGTGGATAGATAGGCAGAGCGAGAGCGGAGATTGCAGGTGCTGCTGGCTCTACCTGGAACTACTTGGAGTTTGTCTCTGACTCTTCGGCTTAATCTCTAATCAAGATAAGCCATTGCATGTCGATCGCTTCGTGTTCGAGATGCGAGATTCGAGATCCCCCCAGATAGTTTTTCTCTTTTCTCCGTTTCTTTCTTTATTTTTTCATACATCCATATGGGTCTGTGTGGAAAATTATGTTTCTCTGCGGTCATAAATTATGCGTAACGTGACACCTTCGTCTACAGGTTTCCAATGGGTCGTTAAATATTTTATTTCATTTTTATTGCTTTGCCATTGGTTTTTCGCAGGACGACTCGGATCGTTGAGACGAGAAATGATTTCATTAAATTTTCAGTTAACAGCGCGCAGACGCTGCCAAGGTTAGGCCCTGGACAAAGAGTCCGCCAGAACCGGCAAAAAAAATATCAATTTACATACTGAGACGCATAGGGACATCATGCGGTGCCCGGCTCTCGGCTCTCGGTTCTCCTCCGGGCCTGGCCCGCACTTTCGCAATTCGAAAATTCGAAAAATTGCGCTTTGTCACACAGCAAACGACTTTCGGCCGCCTGCTGGGGCGACACTCAAATGCCAGGTTCTGCTGTTTGCCCAACTCTGCTGGTTATAACTCCAGAGTGTTGCCTGTGGCCTGCGGCACAGTGGCAAGATGTATGAAAAAATTGGAGAAAAAATATTAAGAAAAATTTGAATATGTAATTAATGCCTGGTTATTTTATTAAAACATGTCAAATTTATAAAAAGAAAGTTAAATCTGGAATTAGAATTGAAATTTATTGTTTAAGATGAGTAACATTACCTATACTTCAGATTTAATGTTATATTCCTTTATATTTTTTATTTGTTTATTTATAAATTGATTTTTCTAGCCCGATATTCCTTTTTTAGACTTATCACTTATTTATTTAAATAAATAAATGCGGCTAACCATGGAATTTGTTTCAAATTCTTCCGAATTTCAACAACTCCCTTTTCAATATCTACATATCCTTGACCACTGTGCACAGTGACCTCCTGTAGCTTTCCGGCATGTCTGGTTCTCCATCTTCCCGTCGCTCTTTGCGCCTCCTCCCTGTCTTCCGAACAGGTGATCATTTTACAAACGTTCCTGACTACCTGCTCCCGCCATTCCCGCCGATCCGAGAATCCCGAAAGTCGGCGATAAATTATGTTTTGTTTGGTTTTTGGTCGCTCTTTGGTTTTTTGTCTCCTCCATGGGGCTCGGCTATAAATTTCTCGTTGACTTTTTCCACTTGTCAAAGTCTCTTGATTTTCTTGCTGCCTTGCTGAATTTTTTTATATAGTTTTTTTTTATTTTTTGGTTGGGTGTCTCTTCTCCAGCTTAATTGTGATGGCGAACGGATTATCTCGTTTTTTAAGCAATTGGCTGCTGCGAAAATTTATTGACAAGCGCATTGACACTCTGCCAGTGAGTCAGTCAGTCAGTCACTCACTCAATTCAGTGGGGAGATGTCAGTTGACTTGTCACTCGCGGTGGGTTTGTCAGTTTTGTATCCTGTTAACCATTTTTTAGCCGTCTTTTTTCTGATCAGCCATGATGGAGCTGTCAGCTTAGGCGCTAATGTGCATACTAATGTCGGATTCTGCTTGGGAATGGGATGGCGAAACTATATTGGAATGTTTTGGGATCTTTTTTATAAATGCACAGGAACAAAAACTTATTTTTCTACTTGAAATATAACAAGTTTCTTATATTGAGAGACTTAAATATTCTAAAAAATAATTCTATATAGATTTAGGAAATCAATAACTACCAATAATACCCAATATTTAGTATTCCAAGTCTATTGATATCATTATAATTATATATATGGATGGCATCTCATGTGCCTTTCAGTTCCACCTTTTGCCTGTTCCACCTCCGTTTGCAATTAGTCCGCCGGGCAGTGGCATTATGTGTTCCCATGATCATTTACCGATCTTGTTATAATTATAAAACCCACAATTGTCTCATTGCGGGTATCGTCTGCCCGAGTCTAATCATGTTGAGGCCCGGGCAACTCCTCCAATGGGCAAACCGATAATTTACGGACAACCTGAGCAACGACCCTCGTAATTATAAAAACGTTTCCCCTTTTTCGGTTGCACTCTCTTTTCCTCGCACATTGCTTGTTTAAATAACAACAACATATTGATTAATTTTCGAGGCAGAGTTGAGGACGGGACTTGTCGTGGTGGTTCAGAGCGGGGCCGAAAGCAGGTCTCGAGTCGTCCATCAAACTGGCCAAGTCAACTTGGAACCCGTGCTGCAATTCATCAAACTGCGGGCCCAGAATGTGTGTTGGCCTTCTTTGGCGTCTTGCGGCACCGAAAGAAATAATTTTACTTAAAGAAAAAGTCTAGAAATATATAAATGAAATATTGATTTGATATTTTTTATAAAATTTAATTCAGACTAAAGTACAGATTATTTCTTACATTAATAACAGATTAGTAGATATATTTTTGATGTTCTGCTGATTCTTTAATCACTAATATCTTGATTGATATTTAGTTTTGTTAAAAAATAAATTAAAAGTACATTAATTTTCCTGATAAATGTTTTCCAGTGTGCTCTTGTATTTTGGTTTGGCTCGTTTTATTTGATTTATTTTGCAGCTCCTTCAATTTTCCCCCATTCAGTGGTATTATTAGGCTTGAGGCTCTCTCTTTCCCCAGTTTTTTTTCCCCCCATTGTGGTTAGCGGAGGAAAACCGAAATCAATTTGACATGATTGCCATGGATCATAATTTTTTCTTTCTTCTTTGTGTTCGTTTGGTTTCTTCAACGCTTTCTTTGGAGCCCAGGTTTTTTTTTTGTGAGTGTTTGTTTTGAATATTTTGTTTGCCGGCTATTAGGTTTTGATTATTTATGAGCTGGACCCGTGGGGCACACACACATGGCTCGTTGGAATTGGCCCGGCAATTAGCCAACACGGACGCCTCTCCAACCGAAAAACGATTATTTGTTTTTAAATGAAAAATCACCAAAAAAGAGCTGCGTTCGGCACCTTAGATCCCTGTACTTTTATTATTATTATTTTAGCATGCCCCCAAACTATTTGTCTTTGGCCAACAATCCAGCCAGAAATTGCCTTTTAATGGCAGTTTACTTATATATTTATTTGTTTATCTTTACATATTTCAAAGGTTTGGCACCAAAAGCTAACCACAGCTAAGCTAACAGCAAAAAAGATCTTTCGACTCCCCAAAACCCAGCAGACCAGACCGATTTATCTTTTATAATTTTTCAATAAATTTATTGTTTCTCGTTTTCTTTTTTGTTTGCATTTTTTGGCGATTGTTTACGAAAAGCATTTATTATGCATAGTTTTGGTTAGACAGGCGAGCAAGCTATCAATTTTTCACCTCTCGTATCTGGCAGATACATCAAACAAAAAGTCGAAACTTGTTGCTTGGCTTCGCGTCGCATGGCGGCTTGCTAACTGTGTCGCTAAATGTGCCTTGCCGTGTTGTTGGAGAGATAAATTCCATAAAAATCAACAGAAACTACAGCAACACACTCTAAAATCGACGACTACCTCTAAACAACAATAACCATGAGAAATGACAAAGGCAAACGACGACGACGTCGACGACGCTATCTGAGGGAGAACTGATGATGATTTATGAGCGTCAGAAATCAAGTAGAAAATTACGGTAATAGAAGAACACAAGGCAGACTGCACACACATATACAGATACGCACCTATACATAAATAAAATCCACATAGATACACCTTACTACCTAGGCTTCCAACTGAAAATACAAACCGTACATTGGGCAATTTTAACTGGAATTTATTTCGTTTTAGAACCAAAAATAACCAAAAAGAAAGAGAATCAAGAACAAGTTATTCAAGAATATTTTTCGTTTGGGGAAAATACGTTTAATATGCTAATTGTCAATGTAAATATTGATCATACGCCTGGTTGGAGCAATTTGCATTTTATCCCGAACAAAACTAAAAGTGTCGGTTATAAATCTAATGGCAAAGTCACACATGTGGGAGAACACAAGATATAGAAACACTTATTTATGGGGTTTTTTCTATCTCTCTCTCTCTTCGTTCGCTTTTGAGTCTAATTCATTTAGCAAGACGACACCTTGTTAGAGCCCTGACTTGTGACGGGATGCGGGGGGATCTTTTCCAGCTGCCATGTGTGTGGGTTCTTAGCTGGAAATGTAGCGACTAGGTGTTAATTTTGTTTGTTAGGCGACCAGTCGCCAGACCCCAGTCTCAAAGGAACAAATAGTTCACAAACATGGTTCTAAAATAAAAATTTATATTTAAATGAACAAGACATGCGGGCAGGAGTGTAGGTGTTTGTAGGAAAAATGAAAGAAATTGTAGAAACAAGTGAATAATTTAAGGGGAAATTTAAGGGTCATAAAAATGGGAGATTAACTTGTTTATGTTGTGTAGAAAGATTTTATTCATAAGGTTTTTATATACTTTCAAAGCCAGTATATGTTAATGAACATGTTTACAATTTTTAAAAATATTTAAAAATGTTTATATATAATAACTTTAATTTAAACTAATTCTTATAAATAAATCTCAGTTAAAAGTTAAAGTATCTTATAAAATTCCTTTAATTAAATTACTATTTACTGGCCTTCTTAGAAACTAACCCCTGGCACGTCCTTTCGATCCCTCTGAGTTGGACAAAAACAAGCCCAAATGAAACTTATTTAATATGCCTTATAAAGAAAGCAGTTAATTAAAACGACCCTGTAGGAGGGCGGCTGTTGCTGGAGCTGGAGCTTCCCTTGAAATCAGTTAACAAAAGCCCAAAGATAAACAGAGCCCGCTGAGGAGGATGGATGCAAAGTAAAGGGGCAGGGAGAAACCGCGGGAAAAAAGAAGGAAACCAAAATAAAATAAAAGAGGAGAGCAGATCCAAGTTGAGTGCATAAAAATGCCCAAGTTTAAACAGAATTCAGATCGAGATCCACGGCAGGAAGGGCAGTTCAGGAGGAGATGAGATGGGATGGGCAGGCATCATTAATTCTCACCCAAGTGTTGCACGACGACGACTTCTTCGGACCGCTGTGCATATTTCCAATTAAAGCAACTTGCAACTCTAATGAACTTGAAGATATCAATCTACGCGCTGTTAACCCTAAAAAACCACAGACAGACGAACGGTCCGAACGGCACGAAAAATAAATGTCAAGCTAATTAAAAGTCAGGCAAAAAAAAATCTCGACTTCTTGACGGCGATCGGGCATGCAATATTAGTCATAAATATTCCGTCTTGCCCCTCGCCAGATGCAACTTTGTGTGGAGGCAGCAAATTAATTGAAATAGTACCAAAAATAGAAGAACTATTGCTGTTGCTGCATGTATCCAACAGATACGCATCTCTGGGATGCATCTACGCACATGTTTCAGCCTCTGTCGCTCTCTCTACTCCTCTTCCTGTCCCTCTCCAAGTGAAAAGGAAGCGCTCGGCTCGCGTTAAAACAAACAAAAACATATTTTTCTTATAAACAGAACTCTGAACAAAATAATTTTATTTTCAGCCAGCAGGCAGAGCATCAGGTTCTCTTGTATCTTTGTATCTTCCTTTTGCTACACCTCTCTTTGTCTTTCTTTCGAATGTGCAGTGAGAACAATGGGGATGTGCAAGGAAAAAGGAAAGTTCACTTCCGATTTTTGACTAAAAAAAGACAAGAAGAAAGTCTTTAAAACATCGATAGTTTTAGGGAAAAATCTATTATAATATATATATTCTAAATATAAACTAGTATCTTTATAACAAAATTCTTCTGACGAAAAAATAACCCAAAGGATCTCCACTCCTTAACTATTTTTCTCTCCGTGTAACCAGTATCTTTTTTGGGCTCTCGCATCGAAACATAATTAATTTCTGTTTGTTTAAGGTCTGCGCCTGCGACTGACTGTTGTTTCCTGCAAACAGCCATGACGATGGCGATATTTGCTTTCTCGGCGAGCCGAGCCGAGGGAATCCAGGAGCCAAGAAGGGGGTTCTGCTCCTTGAGATTCATTGGAATTTCAATTTTGAAAAACACAACGAAAAAAAAACGATACTCCACACAATACATATTCATTGTCGTCGCTCGTCGTGTTGGGCATTTAAATGCTTGCTCATAAATTTGCTTTTTTCTTTTTGCAATGTCATAAATTAAACATTTTGGAAACTGATACGTTTCGCCCCTCCCTTTAGCCATTTGCCTCTTTTATTCTTTTATTGATCGTCAAGTTGACATTCGCTGGCGGAGAGAGAGACAGTGGGAATATTTTGCCATAAATTATGCGCTTAATTAATTGGCCTACAAATTCCAATTCCACTCCGAATCTTTCCCAGTTAATTAGTCAGAAACAGAAAAGCGAATCAAACGAGTCTTGAGACTCTCAAGAGCTCCGAGAATCTCAATCTTGATACAGCAGGTTCTTTGAATTTCTAAGATTTTAATGCAAATGTATTTGTGTGTCGCAGATTTATGACTTCGAAGTCGCATTCAAATTGAAGTTTTCTCAGAATTGGTTTTTTCTTTAAGCTTTTTAATTGAATAAAGCATAATTTCTCAGATTTCGGAATGCAGGGATTTGTGGATTTAATGAGAAATATAAAGAGAGAAAAAACATTAAAAGATGGAAATTAAAAATGTTTCTGCTTATTGGGAAATTCCCCTTTCCCAAAATAGCAAAGCCAAGAATTCAATTACCAAGAAAACATCCCATCTTTGCCACACATTTTGCCATAATCTCGTGTTTTATCTCAATTAGGCAAGCCCCACCAGCCACCGGCAAGCGGTTATAATTAAAAAATTGTCATTTTCTTGTCGTTTGCTTAACTTTATCTGCAATTTGTTACAGCAGAGATTACACCTGGCAAATTGTGAGGCGAGGGATGTGGGTACACATGAATCAAAGGCGGCAAGAATAGAACACTGCATTGTGGTTCCTCAGACTTATCTGAGAAGTACTCTTTGGTTAGGCAAATCTTTTGCGGCGCACACCCACCCACGCCTGCCTGCAGATACACAGATACAGATACAGAAACAGATACAGATACATAGGCCCCGGAGACAGCCACAGATACGGATACGCAACCTCTTCTGCGGCACTTTATTTGTCGCTGGCTGATTAAACTTGCATTATATATACACATAAATATATGTACAAAGAGTGCCGTTAAAGCAAACAACAACAAGGCGCGTTCTTTAATAGGAAATACAAAAAAAAAGTAACGTAAGGGGGGAGAAAAAGTTAATTAAATTGTAAGCGAGTTGCTTCTTCTTGGCTTCCATTGGCACACACGCGACTTCTTCATCATCCGGCGAGTGTGTCTGGCCCCTTAATCCCGTGGCGTGATTAAAGTAGTCCACTTTCGGCTAGGCCCAGGGATACAAACAACTCCCCGGCCACTACCCATTTTCCAGCATTTTCCATCATCACACTTTTTGCCCCCCTTTTTCCTGTTTGCTTTTCGGTGGGAGCTGCTGCCTCTGTGTTTTTCTTTCGGGGGCTCTTTCCTCCCTTTGAAGTGCTGCCGCAGAGACAACTGCAATTGTTCTTTAGCCGCCCACAAATTTACTGGCCAAATATTAACATATTTGCCGCGGGACCCAAAGAACATAACTCAGGCCACAAATTGCGGCAACTCTTTTGGCTCAGACTGTTATGTCGCCAACTAAGCCCGCATATTTTTTCCAGCCAAAAATTTCCCTTCTCGCCATCGGGCATAAATCCAGTTTTATGCTCATTGCATAATTAAGTTATTTGGGTTTTAATATTTTCTAATTATACAAGATTTATAAACATTTTTTTACGACCCTCTTTACGATAAAAGAGATTCGGCGAGATGCCCGAGATCTCAACAGGGGGATTTCGCTTTATGGTAGTGGCTTGGTTTAAGCTTTTATGTCCACCTCTAAAATTGACACTTATCAGATAACTTATCAGTCGTTTTCGTACCTCTTTTTTGCATTTCATTACAGGCCAGCCACAGGAAATTCAAACCGAAAGCAGCTCAACCAACGGAATGGAAAAAATGGTAAGTGGAGATAATTTTCTTAGATTTTATTATAAGTTGGGGAGAGTAGATTGATTTGTTTTAGGAAATTCCCTATGCTATATATATTTGTAATCTTAAATAAGAAATTTATAAACTCTCCTTAATTTTGCATATAAGAAAGACATCATCAGCTAGACGTAAATATAAATAAGAGGCTAGAAAACTTGACCTTTCCTTGGCCAAACACTTTGCCCCTTGGCTACTTCATTGCGCTTAGTTTGCGGCACAATGGAGAGAAAAATGCCAGGGCGACCCGACCCTGTGATGGCAGCCAGTGTGCAATTGACCAAGGAGCAGAGAGCTCAGAGCTCAGAGCTCAAGGAGCAGGAACCTCCTAGTAGTTGGCAGGCAGCATTCAGCATCATCAACCTCGTCTTCGTCTGCGGTTGTCGGCAGTTACTTTTCAACGCCAAATTTGCTTTTCAAAACGAGCCAGCTCTTGATACACAGAGAGAAATTAAAGAAGTTAATTATATTTTTAAAAATATTACAACGTTTGTAGCATTTAAAAGAAGCAAAGAAGTATCTTGAGTGGAAAGTAATGTCCTTAAAATGATTAAATCCACAATATTTTCTTGTACTTTAAGGATTTATTTTATTTTATAAAAATTTTAAAAATTCTAAAGAGTTGTTTTTATAATTTTCCCCTGTGTAAGAGCACAAAGTTTTTAGCCTGAGCCTGGTTTACTCGTTTTTGATGCCGTGGGCGATGCATCTTCAGACGCGACTTGTTGCCCCATTGTTGGCTTACCCTTTTGAACAGAGAATCTGAGAATATGAGAATGTGGCTGGGGAGAATGAGAATGAGAGAGAGAGAGGACTGAATCTGAATCTTGGGGCATATCTTTTGCCACTTTAACGTTAACGAGCTGTTGACTTCTTTCTGCTTTAGCCGGTAGTTGAGTTGCCAAGTTCCCCCAGTTCTTTTTCTCCTATCCATCATTCTCTCATATTTCCCTTTGGCTTAAAGCTAAATAAATGTCCTTTCAGTCTAGTTAGCATCTGTCTCGTATTTGTTTATTTTTTATTTATATTTTTTAACCAGTTTTTTTGTTTAAGGCTCATTTGTTATGCGAGACATTTCGAAATGTTCTGGCATGTAATTAAATCATGAGAATATTTCCATAAATACACACATTGATTCATCATCATCATAATTCTCAATCCGTTCGCCCGATCTTCGTGTCTTTTTTTGTACAGTTTTTGTTTACAACGCTTTTGTTTGAAATTACAAATAACTAATTTAATATGCCGAGCATGCAACGTCTCCCTTCGCAGCATGTGGCGCTCGACTGCGTCAGGGGGAAAATCGTTGGGATTATTCGGTTAATTGAATTATAATTGTAGACGGCAGGCAGGCATTTCCCCTCTTTTGGCCACTCCCTCAACGCATTGATCACGTCGATCATGTCGAGCAGTCAATCAATTCTAGAAAGATATTTTCATATTCTCGATGTCTTGCGGTTGTGTACATATACCATATATTCTGTCTATATTCACTGAGGCTCTAGGCAAAGTTCATTGGAAATGCCAGTGCAGCGGGGGATGAGTTATGTTTGGAAAAATGAATTGTTGTGATATTTAGATTTTTAGGAATTTCTTTAGAAAGTTTACTAAGGGAATTTTTTAATAGAATTTATTACAAATTAAGGGATGAGTTATGGAAGTCAGAGGAGAATTCTTAAGTGAGAAAAGTGTTATAAATCAAGGCTGTAAGCATTCAATATTCCCTGTAAAGGCTTCTCCAGATATCTTTACAGTTTTTAAAACCCCTAAAAAGGCATCTAAAAATGTTCAATTTAATTTTAGAGCTACCAATTTCAGTGTACTTTTGGTTTTTTTTAAGATTTTCCCTCTGAAATATTGAAACCTTACGAATTTCATGTAATTTTTCTAAGAGAAAACCCCAACATCATATATATTTAATTTTATTCAGCTAAATAATATGATAAAGACAGCTAACCTTATACCAAATTTTGTAAATGGAACTCCTGTGAAGATGAAATCCGTTTGGCCAAATCAGTTTGCACCTCTCGTGATTCGATTCAACTCAATTTCAATGGAATCGAACTCAACTTTTCTGGCACGTCGGCAATGGCGTCAATGTAAACAACAGTGGATATCCACCTAAGGCGGATCACGCACAGTGGAACCCACCCGTTGAGTGGGCCGTGTGGGGAGTGGCTAAGGTTGGAGTGGCGGAGTGGCGGTGGTGGTACATCATCCGACATCCCTTCGTGCTGTTTCCTGCCCGAAAAACACGCGCTGATTGCTTTGGCTGTTGAAATGCGCTTGGAAAAATAAACCAAGAGCCCAGGGAGAAAAGGCATAAATTATTTGATGCAACAAAAACTCTCGCTCACCGAGAAACGCCTTTGGGAAAATTAAGGTGACCATATGTGGCCGGAGGGCACCCGACTGAGAGCCAAGTGAAGCAAGAAAAACAGTTCATAAAATCAACAAACAACAGCAGAAGCCAAGAAATGGCATTTCGAATAGGAATAGGAATAGGAATCTCGAGCAGCATTTGGAATGCCATGCAGGGAATTCTTGGCCCGTGTTGCTGTTCGTGTTTCAAATAAACTTCGAAATGCATAAATAGTTTACAACAATAACAAGCAGCGCGATTCCACGAGAAGCTAAGAAAAACAGGAACAAGTGCGTTGATTGCAGCCAGCCGCCGCCTGCACTTTGCAGTGGTAGGGAGGTGGGAAATCAGGCGGAAACTCGGAAAAGTGGGAGGTGGAAAAGCGCCTTGTGTGGGTTGGGCTATTTTGAAAGCGTCTGCTGAGAGGCCGAGAGTGCAGAATGTTCCGAATGGAGCTGGAAAAACGGACAGAATGCAGAATGCAGTTGCATCTGCAGCATACCAAGAGTTCATTGGTTTTCCACATCCTCTGCTGCTGCTCCTCCGACCCTCTTCAAATTTTCCCATTTTCATTCTGCTCATTTGAATGCTTTTTGTTGTTCAACTCATTTGATTTTCCTGGACCAGGGGGAAATCAAACCTGGCTAAGGGGAGATTAGTTGGAGAATTTACTAAAAGTTCAAGTATAGTATCAAGTTTTTACAAGCTTCTAGTTTTCTAGCTAAACTTTTATTACTAAATTTTAAATCAGTTGAGTTTTATCTTCCCTACAAATCGCTTTCCATCAGCGAAATAAATTCCCCCCTCAAACCAGTTGCTACTTCAATTTTCTTCTTGCTACAAGTGCAACATTTTATTAACCCTCGCAACAATTTTCCTACATATTTTGGCGCTTTGGCGTCGTAAATATTTTTATTGCCATAGCCATAAAAAAGAATAACAGAAACGGGACGGGGAGGTTGGAAAAAAAAAGTGCAATAGACTATCAACAGTTTCACGCCTTCCCTCGGCCTTTTGCACACACACAAATATCGGTTGATATTTTCTGTCCGTTTTGTATCTTTGTATCTTTGTTTATGCCACACATGTTACGCCTACGAAAAAGTATCGTATAAACCGTCAGGGGAAACACACACATCCACCTAAACCCTGTCGCATGTCCCGCAGGCCTATTGTCTGGATCCAAGTCGAGTTGTTCCTACATTTGCCAGCCATATGTGGCTTGAATATGCTAATGGCGAAACTTTGTTTCTACCTAGAGTTTGCATACAGAAAAAAAGTAACCAAGTCTTAAGAAATTCAATGAAAAGGTTGCTGAATATTAAATTAAAGACTGTTTTTCCAAACTGAACTAAGAAATATTAAAAATTAAATGCTACTATCAAAAAAATTGACCTGCTTCACCCTTAAAATATTTCTACATTTTCCGATAAACAAAAAGTAAAGTCACTTGATTTGTGGCGTACAAAGTTCATCTGTCAGCGAGGCATCCGATTCGAATCCGAATCCGGATCGGTATCAGGAGTCATGTGTGTGTGCTGTCCACTCTCCAACTATTTTTTTTTATTTTAGGGTAGCGGCATTTCCACTTTGAAATGCCACAAAGTGCCACAAACGAAAAACGGGCTGATAAGCCCCCGATTTATTTATGATTTTGTTCGATTTGGGTGCCTGATGCTTTCATAAATTTAAATTCTACATTGGCCCTGGCGTTTCAATTAAGCAATTGTTGTAAATTGTTTTTCGATTTTGTTTCTGGTGTCGCGTATCGATATTGATATTTGATATTGATATTGATACTGAGTGATATATGGCAGCAGCCTGTGTGTCTCGATAAGATTTCTGTTTGCGCAGGCCAAAAGAAATTAGTCAAAGTTGGAAGCGCTTGCATTCAAATTACTGTTATGGTCAATTTGGCCATTAGCCACAGCGCCATAAATTATTAACAAGAGCCCAAAGCCAACAGCCAGAGATGTGGGATGCCTCATTGAAATTCCCCTATAGCCAGAAGGCAGAGAAGTCCAAAAGCCAAGACGACTAGTGGGACATGTGCTAAGCATTTCAAATTTACATCTACATATATATACAGATTTATATATATTTTTATACCCTTGCAGGGTATTATAATTTCAGTCAGAAGTTTGCAACGCAGTGAAGGAGACGTTTCCGACCCTATAAAGTATATATATTCTTGATCAGCATAAACAGCCGAGTCGATCTAGCCATGTCCGTCTGTCCGTCTGTCTGTCTGTCCGTCTGTCTGTCTGTCCGTCTGTCTGTCTGTCCGTCTGTCTGTTTCTACGCAAACTAGTCCCTCAGTTTTAAAGCTATCTGAATGAAACTTTGCATATAGTCTTCTATATGCTCTCACTGCTATATATGTCGGAAAGGGCCGGATCGGACGACTATATCATATAGCTGCAATACAAATGTTCGATATATTTGTAGAAAAAAAATTAGAACTTTGATGTTTTTCAACATTTTTGCACCATTTTTTATATATGGCCATTCTATATTATTTTAGAATTTTGGTATAAATTTTATCAAAATCGGACGACTATATGATATAGCTGCCATAGGAACGATCGAGAAATAAATAGGAAAAAAAATT